GCGGTTGACTTCTACCCCTCTAAGTGCCGCTTTTCCATTGCTGCTTCTATTTCTGACGATGAAATCTTGCACGAGTTCGAAAGCTCAAGATAGTAAACTAATTGTTCCGCTACTCGACCAGCCTTCTCCTTTACCTAGCCTGCTGGAAGACCGATGTTCGCTCAAGGTCACATACGAAGCAAACACTCAGCGAAACTCGGACGCCTAGATTTGGAATGCGCCAAAGTTGTGAAAGCACGGGTTAAACAACGTGCGCCAACCAACGATAAATAAAAAGTACATCCGCACATCAAATCATGGAGCCCTGTGACAAATGGATCCTTACTGGTGGGACATTGCATGCGTGGCACAGCGTGACTGCTTGTCGGACGTGAGACCCTAACACACAGGCGTATTTGGAATGCCCAGTTAGGGGAATAAAACATGTATAAACGAGGACCCGTTCAACGGTCAGGGTGTGTATGTGTGTGCCGTTCGCTCCGCTCCGACATTTACTGAAGCGGTGCGTTGACTCGTGTTTCTTAGAAGGGCTGCTTAACACAGCGACCATGTATTGGTATACGTTTCACCTGGTGAGTCAAACCAAAACTCCTATACCACGATCAGCACTGGCATCACCATCATCATCAGTTCACTTGTAATAGACCCATATTGTCCTCCCTGTCACCGCAGATTCGAATCGGGTCTACATAGCTCTGGCCGGTCACTTGATAATCCGTCGCACTGAAGCCGGTGAACCAGTGCCGGGAGCTCCGACATACCATAATATTAGTTTGACCGTCGCAAACAATAGCGTTCACCGCATAACTCACGGGGTGGGTATATCGCGGTTTTAAGGCTATTCTGGTTTAACCCTAACGGCTGCGACCTTCCAGGCCCGGTTCCTTAGGAGATGGAAGAGAGAGAAGTCTTGGGAAGGCCAGAGTAGTAGGAACAATGTATTGTGTACACAAGAGTTGGGAGCAGTCTTGACTGCCGGAGTGCGCGTCTAGCCGCCAGGCGAGCTGGTCCGGAGGGCTGACTAGCGGTAGCCACGGAGTGGAAG